ATGGGGAATAACCCGAGAAATGTTGAAATTGCTTGGGAAGGCGTTACTGTTTGATGTACGTCTTATTTTGTATACCCTAATGACAGTAATACGAAACTGGTTTGTATAATACCCTTAGAAGCGAGTAATTGCTCGGCGTCCTCGATTAGTAAAGAAATGTGAGCCCTAACTGCTGCTTACAGAGCTGATTGCAGCTGTTCCTGAAGCACAGCCAGAAATGCCCGCTGAACCAATCATTGCTGAGTCGTTTGCAGCTGCTTCTGAAGTAGCGCCAGTAATGCCCGCTGTGTCAGTCGTTTCTGAGCCGTTTGCAGCTGTTCCTGAAGCAGAGTTAGAAATGCCCGCTGAGCCAGTCATTTCTGAGCCATTTGCAGCTGTTCCTGAAGCTGAGCTAGAAATGACCGCTGAGTCAGTCATTTCTGAGCCGTTTGCAGCTGTTCCTGGAGCTGAGCTAGAAATGACCGCTGAGCCAGTCATTTCTGAGCCGTTTCCAGGTGTTCCTGAAGCTGAGTTAGAAATGCCCGCTGAGCCAGTCATTTCTGAGCCATTTGCAGCTGTTCCTGAAGCTGAGCTAGAAATGACCGCTGAGTCATTAATTTCTGAGCCGTTTGCAGCTGTTCCTGGAGCTGAGCTAGAAATGCCCGCTGAGTCAGTCATTTCTGAGCCGTTTGCAGCTGTTCCTGAAGCTGAGCTAGAAATGACCGCTGAGCCCGTCATTTCTGAGCCATTTGCAGGTGTTCCTGAAGCTGAGCTAGAAATGACCGCTGAGTCAGTCATTTCTGAGCCGTTTGCAGCTGTTCCTGAAGCTGAGCTAGAAATGACCGCTGAGCCCGTCATTTCTGAGCCATTTGCAGGTGTTCCTGAAGCTGAGCTAGAAATGCCCGCTGAGTCAGTCATTTCTGAGCCGTTTGCAGCTGTTCCTGAAGCTGAGCTAGAAATGACCGCTGAGCCAGTCATTTCTGAGCCGTTTGCAGGTGTTCCTGAAGCTGAGCTAGAAATGACCGCTGAGTCAGTCATTTCTGAGCCGTTTGCAGCTGTTCCTGAAGCTGAGCTAGAAATGACCGCTGAGTCAGTCATTTCTGAGCCGTTTGCAGCTGTTCCTGAAGCTGAGCTAGAAATGCCCGCTGAGTCAGTCATTTCTGAGCCGTTTGCAGCTGTTCCTGAAGCTGAGCTAGAAATGACCGCTGAGTCAGTCATTTCTGAGCCGTTTGCAGCTGTTCCTGAAGCTGAGCTGGAAATGACCGCTGAGTCAGTCATTTCTGAGCCGTTTGCAGCTGTTCCTGAAGCTGAGCTAGAAATGACCGCTGAGTCAGTCATTTCTGAGCCTTTTGCAGCTGTTCCTGAAGCTGAGCTAGAAATGACCGCTGAGTCAGTCATTTCTGAGCCGAAAGCAGCTGTTCCTGAAGCAGAGCTAGAAATGCCCGCTGAGTCAGTCATTTCTGAGCCGTTTGCAGCTGTTCTTGAGGCAGCGCCAGTAATGCCCACTGAGCCAGTCATTTCTGAGGCAACACTAAGTGAACAGAAAGCTAGTAAAGCTGAGTCCCGGAGCTCTGGAAAAGGGAAATTCGGAAAAAGACGTAGGCGCAGGAAATGAAAAATGAATAGGAATAAATGATGCCACATGGCTGTTTATAAAAAAACATGAATTACAGAATTGTATTTTTTTTAAGAAACGCCGTGTCATTTATAATCCAAACTAATATTTTATATATGCACTGTGAGCAACTCAGGTAGATTGAGCATACGAATATTTACAATAAAAGAAAATTGCAAGACCACAGGTGCCACATAAACAGACAGATATTATACATTTAGAAAGATAAATTTATATGAAAGCCCTCCTGCAGATGTTCCTGTAGGTGATAATATATAAATATAATAATACATAGGTATATAACTAATCTAGGTAATATTAAAGTTTCGGACGTTGCATGCAAGACATTATCATCATTGTCGTAATTACCATTATCATCATCATCATTACAGTTGTCCATGCTGCTGGTATCTATTCATTTCAAGACAGCTTAGTAAATAGGTGGGCTTGTGTGTAAGTAGGCTGGTAAAAATTTATAGAAATATGTTTAACAGATAGGCAGGGAAGAAGGTAAACAGATTTATAAATTGATGTGAAAAACAGACAGATAGACATACAGATAGATATATTCAGGGTAGATTAGTGAGTAGACAGACATATAGGCAGATATTTTAGTCAGATTAGAGAGTAGACAGACATATAGGCAGATATTTTAGTCAGATTAGTGAGTAGACAGACATATAGGCAGATGTTTTAGTCAGATTAGTGAGTAGATAGACATTTAGTCAGAGTAGTGAGTAGATAGACATTTAGCCAGATTAGTGTGGGTTTTTTTAGTCAGATTAGTGAGTAGACAGACATATAGGCAGATATTTTAGTCAGATTAGTGAGTAGATAGACATATAGACAGATATTTTAGTCAGATTAGTGAGTAGACAGACATATAGGCAGATGTTTTAGTCAGATTAGTGAATAGATAGACATTTAGCCAGATTAGTGTGGGGGGTTTTTTAGTCAGATTAGTGAGTAGACAGACATATAGGCAGATATTTTAGTCAGATTAGTGAGTAGATAGACATATAGACAGATATTTTAGTCAGATTAGTGAGTAGACAGACATATAGGCAGATATTTTAGTCAGATTAGTGAGTAGACAGACATGTAGACAGATATTTTAGTCAGATTAGTGAGTAGACAGACATATAGACAGATATTTTAGTCAGATTAGTGAGTAGACAGACATATAGGCAGATATTTTAGTCAGATTAGTGAGTAGACAGACATATAGGCAGATATTTTAGTCAGATTAGTGAGTAGATAGACATTTAGCCAGATTAGTGAGTAGATAGATATGTAGGCAGATATTTTAGTCAGATTAGTGAGTAGACAGATTATTGAGTAGATAGACATTTAGGCAGCTATTTTAGTCGGATTAGTGAGTAGACAGACATATAGGGTCGTAGACATGTGACTAAAGGGATAGAGAAGCGACGCGCATCCCGCTGCTCAGGTGTTCGTGGCGGGACGTCGTCTGTAAACAAAAGCTTCCCGTCGTCTTCGTCGTCCTCGTCTCAGACACGTCGCTGAGGCCCAATTCTTTCATTTTTTCCTATTTTAGCGCCACAGACAGGGCCACGGGGCTGAGCATGGAGCGGAGGAGATCCAAGAGGTTCCTTTCTGTGACTTTTGTGGATGATAATGAGGTGGAGAAGGTTAAGATTGGAGTTGATGGGGGAGAAGGTAAGATGATTAAAGAGGAGGTTTTTGTGGTGTTTCGTTTTTTTTTTCGATTAGTGAGTAGATAATAATGTTAATGTTAAGATAATACTGTTTATGTTAATAATAATGTTAATGTTAAATAATGTTAAGTGTTGTTTTTTTCGTCCCCTGATTGTAGGTTGAGGTTTTTTATTTTGTTTTGTGTTTGTTTGATTAGTCGTGGTAGGTCGTAACTGTCCTGTTTTATATGTTTAGTGAATGATGGTTTTTAGATTTAGCTTGCAAATAGACAGATGAAGTAATTTGATATTTGTATCATATGTGGTTTCAGTTTTTTTTACGGTTCTTTACAGCCGTTAATAAGCTTTAAGTTAAAGATGTAATTAATATTATTTTATTTGCATATTCAAGTTGTGGTACGGCCCCTGTCACAGCGAGGCAGGACGCGGAGCTCCAGGGTTGCCTCGGCCCCAAACGTGGAGTTGCCGCCACTCGAGGAAATAAACGAGGAAGAGGAGGATGTTTTCTTCAAGCCAACTGGTATGTATTTTCGTCTGTAATTTTCTGGAATTGCGCCGCATAAGCGATCGCAATGATTTCTGTATTGATGGATTCCTCTCACCCCCTAGTACACTTATATGCAGGAATTATGTTGCAGAATCCCCCAAACTCCCCACATTCTTGGCCCCGTTAGCAGGGGAGGGCATGAAAGGTACCATGGAAATTGTATAAAGAATCAGTCACTATATTGTCTTATGCAGGGGGCTGTTGAAGGAGGGTTGCCCCTAACCAGAAAAAAATAAGTCCCTCACATATTCATAGCAGAATAGAGCGCCGGACAGACTGGGCCTCAGGTGCTCCCGCATGAGGTCTACCCTGCCATGAATATGTGAATGGGGGTCATAGTGGGAAATGGGGAAACTGCCAGCGTGAACAACAGCCCAGCATTACTGTGTTGATACATAAGTAATATAGGTATAGAGTTATAATTACCTATATATTCTTCATAGTATAAAAACAGGTCCATAGTAACTCTCTTCTTGTTTAATTTTCTTTATATATTTTCTTATGTCTTCTGATATTTACCTCACTAAAGGCTTTTTAAAAAATCAGAACAACAGTAACAACAGCTCTAATCTCCCAGAATTACTCGAGGATGGGGAGGCCTCAGTCAAGGCAAGCGACGTGTTTGGCTTCCGCACACCCAGGAAGAAAGGCAGCATGTTGGAGAAAGCCGAATCAACGAAGAAACTCCTCCAGACCCCAACCACGCCAAAGACTCCAAGGTCGGCATTAAAGCATGGTTCAAGGACACCCAGAACACCGAAGACTCCATTGTCAGCAAGCAAACGTATGTTTTGAGAATTGTTGTCATTTTTAGCTGCTGTGGTATTGTTTTGTGGCTGTTCAGGCTCGTATGGTATTTATATATCTCTTAATACTTGTGATATTGTTTGATTTTTTTTTCTTCCAATTATATATTTGTCTGCCATATTTCACTGAATTTCAGGTTGTTGATATTGTGAGTTGCTTCTTTGTACCTCAACATTTTTCCCATTTTTAATATCAGGTGGTTCTAGGACACCCTCAAGCAAGAGAAGGCTCTCGGTCAGTCTACAGGAACCAAACACACCTTACAGCTTTAGGAAGAGAGTTACACAACGTAAGATATTTATGTATTTCCTTCTGTTGAGTTAGTTCTCAGGTTAAGTAATAATATTTGAATTGACAGCAAAATCTATCATCCCAAGCAAAATTTTGAAGTGCAACAGTATTGAGCAATAGGTTTTTAGATGTCATGGTAGCAGTTTTTGAAACTATTCATCAGCTACTGTATTTTAACATTCATGATTCTGATAGAATGCCAAGGGATAACATTGTGAGAGAGAGAGGGGTAAGGAGGGGGAGAGAAAGAGAGAGAGAGAGAGAAAGAAAGAGAGAGGTAAGGAGAAAGAGAGAGAGAGAGAGGTAAGGAGAAAGAGAGAGAGAGAGAGGTAAGGAGAAAGAGAGAGAGAGAGAGAGAGAGAGAGAGAGAGAGAGAGAGAGAGAGAGAGAGAGAGAGAGAGAGAGAGAGAGAGAGAGAGAGAGAGGTAGGAGAGGTAAGGAGAAGAGAGAGAGTGAGGTAAGGAGAAAGAGAGAGAGTGAGGTAAGGAGAAAGAGAGAGAGTGAGGTAAGGAGAAAGAGAGAGAGAGAGGTAAGGAGAAAGAGAGAGAGAGAGGTAAGGAGAAAGAGAGAGAGAGAGGTAAGGAGAAAAGAGAGAGAGAGAGGTAAGGAAAAGAGAGAGAGAGAGGTAAGGAGACAGAGAGAGAGAGAGGTAAAGAGAAAGAGAGAGAGAGAGGTAAAGAGAAAGAGAGAGAGAGAGGTAAAGAGAAAGAGAGAGAGAGAGAGAGGTAAAGAGAAAGAGAGAGAGAGAGAGGGGTAAGGAGAAAGAGAGAGAGTGAGGTAAGGAGAAAGAGAGAGAGTGAGGTAAGGAGAAAGAGAGAGAGAGAGGTAAGGAGAAAGAGAGAGAGAGGGGTAAGGAGAGAGAGAGAGAGGTAAGGAGAAAGAGAGAGAGAGAGGTAAGGAGAAAGAGAGAGAGAGAGGTAAGGAGAAAGAGAGAGAGAGAGAGGTAAGGAGAAAGAGAGAGAGAGGAAGAAGAAACTGTAGTAGATAAGAGACTCTCAGGGTGACACATTCAGAGTTACCTCTCATGGGTGAGTGCCCTGTACACGTGCAAAGTCCATCTTTTACACCCTCCAGAGCAAAACAGATAAGAACTCTGGCTGTGTGAGAGTTTTCTGGACTTCGGTTTTTTCTCCATTTTCTAAATTCCTTAATTTCAGGTATCAAGAAGATAGTATGCGAGGAGGACTCCTCTTCATCCGAGGAGGAAAATGACTGTGACAGCAACTATTACTCCAGTGAAGAGTCAGAAGATGAGGGCAAGGAGAACTTTGACCTCAATGAGAATATGGTCCAATCACAAGGCAAAACTCCCAGGAAAACCCCCTTGAAACAAAACCAGGCACTCTCAAAAACTCCAGGGAGAACCCCATCAAAGACACCATCCAGAGGGAGACGAGCAGGGAAGATTAAGGATGTCGAACTGGTGAGTCCTGATTAGCAAAGGTTTTGGTTATTGCTTTATAGCCTTGGATGGTCCAGTGCTCTCTTGTTTGAAGTTTATATTAGTGTGTATGTTTATTATATTTAGTGGAGAATAACATGTTCAATGTTTTTGTTTTTTTCCCCTTTTGCATTACAAGTGCGGCCTTGGTAAGTCATCCACGTGGTTTTGTGAAATAATTCTAAGATATTCAGGAATATATATATATATATATATATATATATATATATATATA